CCCCCCCCCCCCCAAAAAAAAAAAAATTCTTATACCAATCAGAGGACACTTCATGTTGTGTTACTAGCATTTGTGTGTATGATAATTTCGACCAAACATCAATAGATTTTTCAAATTTTCTTTTTCAAATCTATTGGTTGCCAATTGCCCAAATTTTAGTTCCTAGGTATAGTTTTTACCTGCCATGGTGACCAAAACAATCACAACTTTGAGTGCTGATAATCTCTGACAACTGCTCTTTTTATATGTACCTCACTACAGGAGGAGGAACTTGAAATGAAGAAAAATGATCTTCGAGATGAAGAGACCCAAGTCAAACGACGCACATTGGGAAACATCCGCTTCATTGGAGAACTTTTCAAACTTAAGGTTGGTCCTGAGTGTTTCTTCTGACCTCTTTTAAGTTGAAAACTAAAGCTGGGCAGTGTTTGTGGTGAATGGGAATATATTGATTTTTTTGGAAAGCATTTGCCTCTGGTAAATATTTGGCCCATATTTAATACAGTGAGAAAGAAATGTTTTATTGTATTTTGTTTGCTGAAAATGACCTGTAAGTTCAATTGTCTTCTGGCTTGTTATTGCAGATGCTGACTGAGAGTATCATGCATGACTGTGTAGTGAAGCTGTTGAAGAGTAACGATGAGGAGGCCTTTGAATGCCTGTGCAAGTTGTTGGTTACCATTGGAAAAGATCTAGATCATGCAAAAGCCAAGGTACCAGAAATGTAACTGAAATTGCAGTCTTGTCCTAATGTTTCAGAGAAATTATTCTCTTGAATAAAAGCAACAAAAGCAGCATAGTTTGATGTCAGTGACGGTGGTTGTACAATTTGCATGTTCAACCTCTACATAGTGGAAAGTCTAGATATCAGTTGGATCTGTTCTAAGCAGGGTTTTAAGAACAGCAGTTAAACCAGACAGAACATTATGCTAGCATAACACAAAACAATAGTTGTAAAAAAGGTTATGCTCATTGAGGTGGTAAGTAATCATTACTTTATAATAAATAGAATAAACTGTTTAACTGTGACTATATCATGAGACTACATCATGAGACAAGCAACTAAACAGTTTATTAAAACAATAGTTTTTGCTAAGAAAATACTGAGCACTCGCCAAAATTATGCCTACTCTGCAGGCTATTAGTCTTGTGGTTGCTGGTGATTGTATGTTTGTGGTAATGAGATTCCCCAGTTCAGTTTTGTTTTGGCTAGAGTAAGAAGTAGCAGGTGCCTATTTTTAAAGAGGGGTTAGACAAAACATGACTTAATTTTCATGGGTTGGTTAGTACACAGACTGATTTAATGTTTTATTCATTTGTTTCCAGCCGAGAGTGGATCAATACTTTGCTCAAATTAACAAAATAATCCAAGCAAGAATTACATCAGCACGTGTCCGATTCATGATGCAAGACATTGTTGATCTGCGTAATAACAACTGGGTCCCTCGCAGGGAAGACAACAACCCCAAAACTATTGATCAGATCCACAAGGAAGCTGCTGATGCTGCAAAAAAGACACAATTAATGATTCAAATGGCAAAACAAGACAAAAAGCTCAGAGGTGAGTTAAGTTATCTCAAATGTTTTCCTGAATTTATTCAATTAAACATACTGTAGTCGCTAATGACAAGGGGTATTAGTTAGGTTTATTTGAAATAAGATAAATTATAATGTTGTGAAACTAGAAATAAACCAGACTAGATATGGTAGCTGCTTTGTTCACTATAGTACATGGCTTAAATAGGTTCTAAGATATTGAAGGCAGTTTGGAAGCAGTCTGAAAGCATTTGCCAAAGCTTTGGTTTTTATTTATGCTGAATATGATAATACAGCCGCATGAGACAAAGGAATCCAGTGGATTAAGTTTATTGACTGATGTTGTGGTTAATTTTCAGGTAACATGGGTGGTCGAGACAGTCCCAGACCCTCTGGTGGTGTACCACAGGCTGATGAGACTTGGACAACTGTCAGCAGAGGTCCAAAGAATGTGAGCGTGGATCCAAAGAGATTCCAGAACATCAAGGTTATTATTACATTAAATTTAGTGGTGCTATTTGTTTCCCATTGTTCTTGTTAACATGTACAGTAAAAGGAGCCATACTTTTTCAAAGATGTATTGTAGCGATCTGTGTTGGTCTTTTCATCCACAGCTATCTTTCCTCCTCTTCAAATTTTGCTTAGCTTTTTTGTGTTTTTCTTCCCTTACAAGCTGATATTTCAAGTGTTGATTCTTTTTGAAGGCAACTTTAACTATTTGAAATGGCTGAACATACTGCCCTGCAGCTCCTTCAAAATGGTTACATCTTTGCACTGATTGAATGGTACAATTTTGTGAAAAAAGCATGTAATAATATCTTTGAATACAGAGTGGTCCAGGGATTTCATTATAGTTTTCATGTTTCTGTGGTTTTTTTTTTATTTTTTATTTTTTAATTATTTTTTATCAAAAGCTTTCCAAAACTGAGCAAATGAGAGGTGGTGACTTTCCTTGCGTTGTCATGATGAATTTGTTCATCGGAAAATTATTATTGGGTATTAAACTTCAACAATTTACTCTGCAAGCCAAAGAGAACAATTTAATACTTACTGAATAGAAATGTAATTTCATCCTCCTAAAAATAATATTATTGGAACTACCTGAAGCTATTTGTATTTATAAACCATTGAGACTGAAACTATATCAAGGCTAAGTAATGAAATGAAATATGAGATATGTTATGATTGTGTAGAGTTGTAATGACTGGTTAAAATGCATTTTCACTTTTTCTTTTAGCGCCCAGTTGATTCTGAAAACATCTCACTAGGACCTGGTGGTAAGGGATTTTCATCATGGGCCAGAGGAAGCAGTGGAGGAACAGGAGCAGTAGGGGCTGGGGCTGGGGCTGGTCCATCAGCTGCCTCTGCTGCTCCTCCTGCTGCTTCAGTTGAAGACAATAGACCCACGGGCAACAGGTTAGAAGCTTTGGGTTGAATTTGATTGCTAATAAGCTGTGCCATTAGCCCTTTAATCCCTAAGAGAGATTAGTAACTATCTTCTCCTATCAGTATCACCCCTGAAACAAATATTGAGGTCATGAGAATAAAGGAAATGATCACCAACTAAAGATGCTCCTAATTGTTTTAAAAAAATATCTTAAGAAGTACCATAGAAAATATATAGAGAACAGTATGGACAAAATGTATACTGATGCAAGGGTGTAAAGGGTTAATCAGTGATGTGGCTAGAACCTTGTGGTAACCTTGTTACAACCATAAAACAGGCTGTGATGAGTTTCTCATTTCTCCCAAGGAGTGGATCATCATTTCTCCTTACTGCTTTTTTTTTCCCTTCTTCTTTTTTTTTTAGTTTTGTTTGAGTCAGTGGTGTTGAATGTGTACTTGCTCAGCAGAAATTGTGATGTTTGTGGTTTTGCTAGAGGTTTTACATTTTTGTGGGGTTTTGTGACATTTACACAAGAAAATGACAATTCCTAAGCACAGGTCACAGTGCTCTCCAAAACTCCTGGCACCATCATCCTTTCTTAAGGGCAGTGCTACATTTTGAAGTCCCTGTCATATGCTTTACTAACCTTTATAACCTTTATCCAAGAAAGATGATATCAATTTGAGGTATGTTTTGTTTAATTGTCTCTTAGGTATTCTGCATTGGCAGGAGAGAGAAAGTACTCTGCACCTTCAAGACAAAATTCTGGTGGCTCTGGTCGCCAAGAACCTAGGAGTCCAATGGGAGGTGGAAGGCGAGCACCTTTTGGGGCAGGAGAGCGAGAAAAGGCTCTAGAAGCTGTTCGAGCGGTAACACAACCAAAGGTATGCACCTTGTACCATCAAGCTACTATTTGTTTAAAAGTGATCAACCTCTTTCACTTCTTGACAAGGCTAGATTCAACCATACACAGGCAATCATTAGTTGCAAGTTAGTTCTGGAATACATTTTAGAATCACTGTGCAAAATTTTAAGTGTGAAAGAGAGCACAATTCTTTTTGCAAAAAATGAAGAAGAAGAATAACAAAAACAAAAAAGGAATTACTACTATAAAAAGTAATTGCAATTATATGAATGGAAAGATTTTTTACCAGCTGCTACTGTACATGCAACTTACTGAGGGGTTAAAATTCCCTAAAAGGAGAGAAAACAGTGGTTGCAGAGCCAACTTCTCCTTCTTTTTGTTTGACTTCCATTCACTAAAAATAATGAGAATTTAAACATTTTCATTAGAATGCTTTTCTACTTGTAGTCATACAGTACCTGTTTATCTGTTACAGTGTTTTTCTGGTAAAGGTTTTGATCTCTGTGGTTAATTTTTAGCGCAATACCCAAGAACGTGAAGGAGGAAGGGAATCTCCAAGGCTGACACCCGAGGCACCTTCAACTCCAGAGCCCACTTCTGCTTCAGTTTCCCCTGCACCAGAACTCACCCCTGAAGCGATGAAAAAGAAGGCAAAGGCCATTATTGAAGAGTATCTGGATATCAGAGACATGAAGGTAAGTAAGCCTTCCTGGTTGTCAGTTTTCTGTAAATCTAGCTGGTAGTTTACTTCTTCTACAACTTTAGAATGGTTACTCTAGCCCTGAATTATCAACATGCTTTTACTTCGTATTCCTGACCTTTCCATCTCTAGAATTGGAAACCC